TGGTTTATTAACATTACATCAGTTAATGAAATACGGTATTTTATTGTGAATTTAAGTCAAGTCTGTAAAACCTAAAATGTTGCTACCATATTTTTTACAGTGAAGTTCTGACAACCACAGTTGCCGGTATTTTACCGTAAATGTCACAGATTTTTTTTTACAGTGTAGCCACACAGGACTCATTGTAGCATCAAGAGTTTGCTGGTTTCTGAGAGCTGGGCTGTGTTGGTTTTGACCACCACGCAATGATTGCAATTTCCATAAACGCACATGGCTTCTAAGGGCCTCTGTCATTGTTTCTATGTGTGCATTACAGAAGAGGTTAAGCTGAAGAAGTAGGGCTGCCGTGGATTTATGTGGATACGGTTATCTTGCATTTGCCTAAGAGACTAAAGCACACATTATCCAATCGCTCTTACATTTAGACATGCTTGGGTTGGTGTCATTTAAACTCATATAGTACTCTATCTTGTCCTCTATCTGTCCTGCAAATAAAAATCACAGGTTTTCAGGACTTATTTATTTATTTGCTGCAATTTTGCCTGCAATATTTTTTTATTGTTTGATGCATGTGGTTGCACTTCTCGGTTCTATTTCCGGTGCTTTGTGGGATGTAACAGCACCACAGGAAAGAACCATTCTGAGGAAGTGTTTAAACGCAGACATATGGCCACTGTCAGAATTGAGTAAAAGTCATTCTAAGAACATTTTGCAAACATTCCCATTAAGTTATGAAAATGTTATTTCTTAATGTTCTCAGAGCGTTCAAAACGTCTAATTATTTTTTTTTTATTAAAAATGTTTTTCTTGGTTATGCAAATCTTAAGAAACATTCCAGTTTACTTTACTTTTGTAAAAACATTTGAAAAAACCTTAACTGTCACTCACATTTTTGAACATAGATGTGAAAGTGCACGATCCAAACTTAAATTTTTATAATTCATGAACGAAAACATTTTGTAACATGATATTGATGTACCATTTTCATGGTAATGCAATGTTTGATTTTAAAATGGGTTTCAAAGGATGCATTTTGAGATTTAAAGTTTTCAATTGATATATAATTTATGATGATTTCTAAAGTGTGATAGAGAAAAAGGCAACGAAGAAAACTTTTTGTGACTGGTCAGAACTCCTGTTACGATGTAGATTTTTGAGGTGCACTCTTGTCATAAATTAATCTATTACTTTTCCTACATAATTTTTAACAAAAACATTGGTAAAATATCTATTTAGGAGTCTTAGACCTTTCCAACGATATATAGTTTGTCATGATTAGATTAGGATTTAATTGTAATATAGTGAAGTAAATTTAGGCGTCCCACAGAGGGGACGGGTGACAGTTAAAGGGTAAAAAGAACATCCAACTAAAACGTTACAGAAAAAAGTACCATGAACGAAGTATTTGTGCTTAGGTTTTCAGAACATTATTCTTAGAACATATTTTTCTTAGAAGCCATATAATCAGATGACCTGGCAAATATTTAAAGTCTGAGGCAATTAGACCTACAGTCAGACAGGTAAATCTGTCTGTAGTGCAGTTAATAGATCTCGCTACTGTCTACATGGTACTGAATGATTACCATATTAAGATTCAACAAAGTTCTTACATCAGTAGCCTACTTTAAGGAACACTACGCTTTATGCTTGCACCAATGAACAACTATTTGACAACTTCTTCGACACTGACTTCTTCTCAATTCAGTTAACAGCCTTACATAAATGTTCTGTGACATCTAATGCCATTGCTGCTGGTTTATGTAATGTTGCTTCTGGTCACAGAATCCCGGAGCCACGTCCTCTTCCTCCAAAAACGCTGTTTCACAATAATATTGGGCAAGTTTGCCTTCAGCATTAGTTGCAACACGTTACTAACCCGACCGGAACACGTGTGTGTGTGTGTGTGTTCATACACAAAATCGTTCAGAAGAACTGCCAGCCCTGTTGAAAAAAACAGCATATGCTGGTTAGGTATGTTTTGATGCTGGTTTATGCCGGTCCTTTGCTGGTTTATGCCGGTCCTTTGCTGGTTTAAGCCGGTCCTTTGCTTGTTTATGCCGGTCCTTTGCTGGTTTAAGCCGGTCCTTTGCTGGTTTATGCTGGTCCTTTTGCTGGTTTATGCTGGTCCTTTTGCTGGTTTATGCTGGTCCTTTGCCAGCACATGACCAGCATAAACAGGCAAAAGGACCATCTTAAACCAGCATCCCAGCGTCAAAACATACCTAACCAGCATATGCTGTTTTTTTTCAACAGGGAGTCCAACGAGACAAATATTCCTGCATCCCTGAGGGGAAATTCAGTACAAAATCAGGAGCACAATTAGGCTACACATACAACACACATGCAATCAAACGGAGAGAAAAGCACTCATGGCAATGATGTCACTTTGATGATATCAGAAAAAAATATCAGATGCTGGAGATCAGAGGACCGGCAGATGGAGTGCTATGGTATCACCTGGTAAAACCACATACTTTGGAAGTGGATGATTATTACTATTTCCATATACCATTGTATTTACATGCTAGCCTAAAGTAGGCTACTTGATAGTATTGACTATTAAATGTGTCCTTGGCCATCGAAGCAATCAGTGATTACCACATGCAAATACCGTGGTATTTTAAAGATTGCACATGTCCAAACAGAACATTTGAGAAATAACGATAAGAAGTAAAGCTGGTTTGCTGTTCGCGTCATTAGGTTTAGGTTACAGTTACGCTTAGTAATAGTTATAGTTTTATATTTCAACTGAATGACAAAGGTAAAGCGTCATTTGTCCTTTTCAGTGTCACTTTTGAATAACAGGACACACACTCAAACAGGTATGGCAACTCTCTCGCCACCGTACGCCCCGCCCTCCATTGTTTTTGTCAAACAAAGCCATGTCATTCTCGCCGATGGTTGGTTGAGCGCAACGACCGCCTCACGCCAACAGCGCTCCCATTGGCTGAAGGCCCCGTCAATCAAGTGTGCGGAAAAAAATGCTTAAAATGTACAACTCCGGCTTTCGACTGGCACAGAAAGAGGGATACAGGCTGAGAAAGAGAGAGGGATCGGATGCAAGATGGAATGATGTGACAAAACGGACTCTTACGGATGATTTAGGCTGTATCTGAGCAGTAATGGTGGCACGGACGCGTTTCGTTTCGACCGGGGATTGTTGTTTTTTTTGTGAATGGGGATTTCGTCGCAGGCCTCGGACATCTGATTCATTTTCATCATCTGATTGATTTAACACTGTGGTTTTATTTGTGAATTGGCGAGATGAAGAGGGTTAATAGTTTCCAGAGGTGAGTGCAGAGGCTAACGGGTCCGATTACCCATGCATTGTCTTGTCTCTCTGTTATTGCTGGTTATATCTTTATTGTTAATTCATAGACTGTTTGTTCAGAAACCATGGCATGCATCATCTTGTAAACTATATCCAGAGATCAGATCATGCATCTTTATTGATTTTGTGCTATGTTGAGATCAGACCGTGATGCATTTATTTCAGTGCATGATCTTTATTAATGTATTCAGATCATGCATGCATAGCAGAACATGTATTTTATTGACTCTCTATATTCTCTATTTAGAGATCTAACAGTGCAAATAAGTGCAAATCAAGCCAATAAGGGTTTTATTGACTTTCTATTTGGAGATAAAACCATGCATAATTTACAGATCATGTGTTTTGTTGGCTATATATTGTATAATCACAGATCAGACCATGAACTTTGTTTTGGATGCTGGAATCAGACTATGCACTGAGATAAAAGTTAATCATGTGACCTGATTGTTAAATTTCAGTGCATGGTCTGATCTCTTTATGCAATATATTTTAGATGCATGCTTTATTCATGGATCTAAACATAAATTAAGTTCAAAGCATGTCCTGTGGTCTGATCATGCCAGCAAAATGCTCCGTTTAGAGATCAGACGTTGCTTTGAAATCAGATTCTCTATGCAGTCTGATTGTGGTTTTCTGGTCTGATATCTGCTCTCCAAACATCAGCGGTGTCAGAATTGGTCCGCATGGGTGTTGGGACGCAGGGAGCGGGGAATGCACCATGCATACGGATGCATGTGTGTTTTTAATGAGCATGCACCACTGCATCACACACCACCATGCTTGACATCATTGCTGCATCTTTGAGGAGTTTAGGACTCAAATAAAACAAACAAATGAGGAAACACACCTGAGAAAAGCAGAACATCTGTATGAGTCACACTGCAGATCATGAGCTCACATCCTCGGGCTGGTGTCCGTTTACTGATGGGGATCATCATCAGTGATAGAGAAAGATCTGGGAGAAAATGCCAAAGCGGCTCAGAATGAGTCACAGGGTGTTGTCTATGCTCACAAAAAGCATTACTTTGTATTTTACATTTATATTTTAGACTGATACAGAAGTATAAATGACAGCTATTTTCTCTTAACAAGCGTTTAATTGAGTTTAATTTGATTTTTATTATCATGTAGAAGTGTTGTAGTGTGTATTTTGGAAACATTTGAATGCATTTATGTTTGTCATGATGAAAACATTTTGATCTAAAGGCTTCTGCGTGAAATTTTATTTTATTTTATTTATTTTTTGACAAATAGTTTAACATTCTTGGTCACTACATTATTTCTATCGTTTCATAATGGTGTTTAATATCAGTATTATAGTATTATAGTATATATTAATTTTTATTTTTGTATTTTCTGTTTTGAATTTAATTGTAGCTACAGTTTTAGTGATTTTGTTGTGTGCTTTTGTCTGTTTTATTATTATTATTATGTTTTTAAATATTTTATTTTTTTTTTTTTTTAAGTCTTTAATTTTATTATTTTTTATTTCAGCATTATTTTAGTTATTTTCAGCTTTAGTTTTAGTAATTTTAGTACTTTGGCAACTAACCGGAATATTTACTGACAGTATAACTAATAACTAGCCTAACATTTTTAGATTTTATTTTATTTCAGTTCAATGAACATGATAATAACATTGGTCCAAACATGTATCAAATGGAGTCAGTCTGGTTTGTTATTTGTGTTTCAGGTTTATGAACACCCGCGCGGCTGCAAACTGCCGTTACCAGCCCACGTGTTATGAGCACGCGGCCAACTGCTACACCCATGATCATATGACCCTTTTAATGAACAGAATCAAAGAGATCCACCTGAATGCTCATTTGGAGTCATGAAAATGTTGCGTATTAAATGCTTATTTTTTCTCTTTAATCCTCTCTGTCCGTGTCTGTAGCTGCTGATTGTGCCGGCGTTCGTGGGAATGGCTCTGTTATACCGGCTGTCAGATGACCGCTGGGAGCGGATCACGGCCTGGGTCTACGGCATGGGTCTGATCGCTCTGTTCCTCGTCTCCACGGTCTTTCACATCATTTCCTGGAAAAAGAGCCACATGAGGTGTGTTTGCCATCGTACAGCATCACACAGAACCGTGGGAGTGACATTTAAATGCAAGACTGAATCATTAAATTATTGTTCCATGAGTGTCACTACATTGCAGGAATAGGTCATACAAAAATGAGCTTAAAATGTACTCACCCTCAGGCCATCTTTTCCCCATTCAAAACTATACGAGTGACACGTCTTGGGTATTCTGTAGTCTTTGCAATAATCCACAAGTAATCCACACCACTCCAGTCCATCAGTTAATGTCTTGAAGTGAAAACCTGTGTGTTTGTAAGAAACAAATCCATCATTGAGACGTTTTTGACTTTAAACAGCTAAAGTCCATAATTCATAAACTTTCTCCAGTGGGAAAAAAAATTGTCTCATCTGAATCAGGAGAGAAATACGCACAGAACAAGCAAAAACGGTTCTAAACAGATAAGTGGGTGGAGTTTGATGTGAGAGGACTTTTTCACTGGAGGAGGAAGGCTTTATTATGATTATGAACTCGTATTTTGGCCAGAAGTGATGGTTTAAAGTTAACAGCAATAATAACAAAAGACATTAACTGATGGACTGGAGAGGTGTGGATTACTTGTGGATTATTGTGATGTTTTTATCAGCTGTTTGGACTCTCATTCTGACGGCACCCATTCACTGCAGAGCATCCATTGCTGAGAAAGTGGATGCTACATTTCTACAAATCTGTTCTGATGAAGAAACAAACTCCTCTACATCTTGGATGGCCTGACGTAAATGTTCAGTAAATTTTCTTTTTTGGGGGTTTACTATTCCTTTAACTAGTCGTACATTTCAGTTCTCATGGCATTTGAAAACCATTTCGTTTTTCTTTATTAAGGTTTGTATTCTTTTATACTTTATGCATATTCATGAACCACTACAAAGAGAGCTTCCTTCATGTTTGACTCTAGAAATGTTCTATTGATCAACTGTAATATTCATAAAAATATGACATTTCTGTGCATATGGTGGACTAACTCTAGTGTGACCACACTTTACATGACTACTGTCTCTGTGTTTTCAGGACCATGGAGCACTGCTTCCACATGTGTGATAGAGTCGTCATATACTTCTTTATCGCTGCCTCTTACACACCATGGTACGTCTCTGTATACATTTCTGTAGCAGGGATCAGTAAGATTTTTTATTTTTTATTTTTATTTCTGTCTTCTGTTCACCATGGCTGCATTTGACCACACTTTACATGAATACTGTCTCTGTGTTTTCAGGACCATGGAGCACTGCTTCCACATGTGTGATAGAGTCGTCATATACTTCTTTATCGCTGCCTCTTACACACCATGGTACGTCTCTGTATACATTTCTGTCATATTCAAATCACTTCAGAGAATTCAAAAATTAAATGCATATTTTATATTTATATTTAAATTGCCTTGTCTTTTTGGACACCATAATACCATGTTTGGGATCAGTAAGATTATTTTTATTTTTTTTAAAGAAAGTGTCTTCTGTTCACCAAGGCTGCATTTATTTGATCAAAAATACAGTAAAAACAGTAAAATTGTGAAATGTTATTACAATTTAAAATAATTCATTTCTATGTGAATATAGTGTAAAATGTAATTTATTCCTGTGAAGCAAAGCTGAATTTTCAGCAACATTACTCCAGTCTTCCTCTTTCATAACATTATAAATGTCTTTACTGTCACTTTTGATCAATTTAATGCGTCCTTGCTGAATAAAAGTATCAAATTCTTTCAAGAAATATTTGATACCGTGAATAAGGTGTACGGTAAGCATTCAGTACTAAATAAAAGTATCAAATTCTTTCAAGAAATATTTGATACCGTGAATAAGGTAGGTGTACGGTAAGCATTCAGTACTATGGTATTATCCCATAGCTCGGTACTTTTTCTAATGTTAAATATGCCATACAGCCTTCACTTCTGTGTAATATATAAGCTTCAGGATCCACAAGCGATGCATTTCCTCATTTAATTTTTAACAGTATCTCATATCTAACAATCTTACACTTGCGGAAGTGGAGTAATAATTCATTTCTATGTGAATATAGTGTAAAATGTAATTTATTCCTGTGAAGCAAAGCTGAATTTTCAGCAACATTACTCCAGTCTTCCTCTTTCATAACATTATAAATGTCTTTACTGTCACTTTTGATCAATTTAATGCGTCCTTGCTGAATAAAAGTATCAAATTCTTTCAAGAAATATTTGATACCGTGAATAAGGTGTACGGTAAGCATTCAGTACTATGGTATTATCCCATAGCTCGGTACTTTTTCTAATGTTAAATATGCCATACAGTCTTCACTTCTGTGTAATATATAAGCTTCAGGATCCACAAGCGATGCATTTCCTCATTTAATTTTTAACAGTATCTCATATCTAACAATCTTACACTTGCGGAAGTGGAGTCATTGTGTAAAAATGCATTCACATGAGTAATTTTTGGCTCCTTTCGGCGTGGTTCTGTGAAGTTATTGATCTGATAACACATTTTTGGCTATAGCAGTTACAAAAACTGTCATCTTCGGTGCGTCTTTAATTAACGCCGGCCACTGAGGGAAACTGTACAAAACCATGTGTAACGTAGAAACATCTTCATGTTATTAGTCAAATGTATTTATATAGGCGCTTTAAATCATGATGTTGATTTAAAATCTTCATGCCTTATAGTTGCATTTAGCCGATAAGAGCTGTGCAATAATATACTTTACATTTTGCGACAAAATAAGCAATTAAATATTTGAGATTTGCTATATAGTAAATATATACTCATATTTCCAACTTTATATAAAGAGCTGATTGATTATGTACAAAAATATATGTACTGGATATACTATATATCCAACTTTCCAGTAAATGGTCAGTTGAATTATATATGAATGCTTATGTTAAGTATAAAGTATCTGCAATATTATGTACAATTAGACTAATGATCTATATTAACTACAAGAAAAATTGTTAATGGTGATTGATTATTATTGAGAATTAATGTAATTATGTATTGATTTAAACCTGTATTTCATTTGTTTTTATGGTGTGTCTATTTAATTATTTATTCATGTTTTATGTATTTATTTATTTTAAATTATTTGTTCATTTATTTCTAGGGATGCACGATATTATCGGAATCGGCCGATAATGGCTTTAAATGTAAATATCGGCATCTATAAGAGGAATACATTAAGGGTGTGCTAGCGATCAGCATTGTGGCTCATTCCTGAAGCAAAGTTTTGCCTGAATGATGATTAAGATTCACTGTTTTGGATCACTGCATTTAAACTG